CTACGCTGAAAGTGGTGTTGAGACCGGTTTCCACTACCTAGAATCTAGCTCACATAACAATAATACATAAAACTATATTATTACAATTGATCGCTTTTAAGGAAAAGCGGGATAACCCAGATTTCGGGGGTTTCCAGAAATCTTGACCTACATCAAAAGTGGGCATTGTCCTACCTTTAGGAGAAGTTTGGTTTCATTGTCGTGTCTGTTTGTTTGGTTAGAGAGAAAACCGTCCTTGTATTTTAATAATAGATATCATGGGTCCAAAAACGTTTTTGGACCCATGATATCTATTATTAAAATACAAGGACGGTTTTCTCTCTAACCAAACAAACAGACACGACAATGAAACCAAACTTCTCCTAAAGGTAGGACAATGCCCACTTTTGATGTAGGTCAAGATTTCTGGAAACCCCCGAAATCTGGGTTATCCCGCTTTTCCTTAAAAGCGATCAATTGTAATAATATAGTTTTATGTATTATTGTTATGTGAGCTAGATTCTAGGTAGTGGAAACCGGTCTCAACACCACTTTCAGCGTAGATTGTTGCATATACTTACACTAAGCTTACATAATATTATTATAGTTAATTAATCTGCTGTCTTTCATGAAAATCTCTAATTTTTGTGGGGTTTTATTAGACGTAAGATAAGATAAGATGAGAGCGTACTTTTACAAGCTTCCGCTTCTACTCAAGTTCGGCTAGTTCAATTCAAATTAGTATATGCGGTATTTGTTGCAGATCTATCAACTATTTCTTCCAAACTTCTACTTTTCTATCGTCATGGCATTGAGACTGAATTTGATGTAGAATTCTGAGTACACACTTTTTTACATATATAAATTAGTTCGGATTGATATGAATCCTTTTTTTATGAGTGCGCTGCTTGCCAAGGTGCTGTGAAACGAATCACTAGTTGTACATAGCCATAGCTGCATGTTGAAACCTTGAGTTGGGTGTGGGTGTGGGTGTGGGTGTGGGGGTGGGGGTGGAACAAGCGGCCTGCTAGGAATGTGTTCCCCTCAAGTGAACTTTGGAACCAAAAAGAAAAGAAAAAAAAAATACATGTTTTCGTTACGCCCAACATTTTTGCATTTATATGACGGGAACCTAGCATCTTTCACACTTTTGCATCCTGAATCTCTTTCAAGAGGTAGAAAAACTCAGGCTCAGAGCCAGAAACGGAATTGTGCAATACTGACTGAGGGTCTGAGTTGTCAGTGATAAAACTTCTTTCCTTCAAGTTACAAAGTGTCACTGTGAGGAATAACAGAACTTACTTCAGTTTACTCGCGATGGAAGGCTCACCCACAATCGAATCGGGTAAGTGAAAGCTTACATTAGACAACCCAAAACTTTTTTGTGCACTGTCACGGTAGTTGCTGATATTGTCATCATTGCTGTAACAAAGTACGTGCACCGTGATGTTATTTGTACTTCTATCACTTACCATCCTGTTCGTTTATTGTTTTCTCTCGTATCAACTCTCACTGCTGCTTTTAACTACTATTGGACTTGACGGTATTGCACTGCAATAAACCAACATTCACACTCCGACATGCATACGCACCAATAAATGCACTTAATACACACGCGCACACACACACACACACACACACACACACACACACACACACACACACACGCACACACACACAC